GTATTTGCTTAAAATCTAATTAAATTTTCCTTTAACTTAAAGTGAAACCTAATGGAAAAAAAACTTTTTGTTTATGTTCGACATAAACATCCGTTCAATTCGAAACTAATCCCGCATTCCAACTCCAAAGTTGATAGTTAGCATGGACCCGGGAACAACTCTGACCCATCTGTGTACCTTTTACCTCACAACAATCAACCACGTGACCATTCTCCCACGCCGATCTTATAAAAACCCCTTCCTTCCCCTTCTCAGGGAGTTGTTCCAGAGCAGGTGCCAGGAGCCGATAACTTTAAACATAGTGTCCTTTTTAATCAGTGAACTTTCCTAAATCATTGATTCAAATATTTAACCAGTGAACTCTCCTAATCAGTGAACTTTCCTAACCAGTGAATTTTCCTAATTCAAAGAGTGGATAAGTTTCCTCAGTGGATAACAGATCAAGAGGTATGGAAGCAATTATTGTAAGCTCTCTCTCGGTCTCTCCGCGTTTTAGGGACACGAACTAGACGATGTACTACCCGAACTTGCATTAATTAATTGTTAATTTTCCTTATGTTACATCTGGCCTCCTCATTTACTCGTATATTGCCTGTCGTCTCACCGACGCACTCCTCCCTCCGCCACTCGACCCAAAACATTAGAGCCCGTTACTGAGGGAAAAAAACTCTTTCCACCCATCCTGACAGTGAAAGGGTTTAACAACCTGTTGCCGGATCGGGAGACCTACCCCCCTTCCGGTGGTTTCACAACAATCTTTAAGAATAAATTTTACAACAATAAAGTAATTCATTTCAAAAATAACTTATTTCATTAAGATAACTAAAAACACAATAAAATTCTAACACTATCTGTATTAGTTATATTTTAAAGTAGGTACAATTAAATTAGTTTTAAATATATTTTAAAAATTTATATATACAGTATAGCGTCGATTATCCGAAAGCCAATTATCCGAAAGAATTCCAACCGGCAAATTTAAATTTTTCGCCAGTGCTGTGGCGCTGCAATTTCTGGCTATGTCTTGGACTACTCAAATATTTTACGTTTTTGATACTAAATTATTTTCTGAAGTATAATTATTTATTTTTTTATATTTTTTATTATATTTATTTTGTTTGTACAAAATAAAGAAATAATTTTTAACGATACAATAATCACGATTATTATTTTTAAAAGTTTACGTTAAGCTAAACATGGACGAAAATTCAACGCGAACCGACACACAACAAAAAATTTCAATATGAGGTAGGTTAATATTTTTTTTCGTACATAATCGGTTATCCGAAATATCGATTTTTTTTCCTGAATGATCCCAGTTTCCAATTGATATGGATAATTGACGCTCTACTGTAATATGATTACCTTTATTTCTATAATGTTAACTTATTATGAATAATATTATTAGTTTAATTAATTTCCTTACATTAAATTTATCTTACTGAGTATTTATTTAAATATAATTGAGAAAGAATTTAAAGAATATTAAACTCTAAGAAAACGAAACTCTGATTGTGATGCATTAATATTTGTTTTTCATTTGATAGATATAAACCGTACAAATAATTGCTAAATTCTTATCTCTAACTGTAAATTTTTTTAATAATAGATTCATTATAAAAACCAGCTTACTAAACTATTTAGAATGTTCTGCTATAAACCTAAGCTCCAAGAACAGTGTGCTTAGCTGAGTTTTTCGTCGTGACTCATAAATGTCTCGAAATCAATAATCATCTCTATATTAAAAAATTAGGTTGAAAATTTACAATGATAATAATAATTTTTAAACACAGCAATGTAAATTAATATAACAGATCAACAAAACAATAAACAAACAAAGAATATTTTCTTAAATGAGTACTAAGAGAAAATAAGTATCAGTGTAAAAAAAATACAACAGTTAAAGTAAATTTATTAATCTGATCAATGTATGTCTTTTAGTAGAAATAATAAGAATAAATCAATATAAATTTAGAAATATAAATAGTATAATAAAAAGAAGCTGGTTGTTACATTAAAATTTTATTAAAAAGTTAAGAAAATCATCGGAAACTGTAGTTTCTGTATTTTATATTTTACTGCTAATTACAATTTGCAGTAAAATCATTATACCAAGTTAATACAATTCCAAACGATTTACGAAGTAAAAGATACGAAAGTAGCAAATAAGATCAAGCTTTAAAAAATCTATAAACGTATTGCGTAACTTTTATGGCTGTTATGAAATTTTATTTGAAAAATAACTGATATATTATTACTCTTATTATATAATAACAATTGCTTGTGGAGCCATCTGTTATCAGACTTTTTTTTATAAAAATTTTCATATTTTTAATTGTTATAAATAATGAAAGTCTTAATTTTGAAGGTAAAGAGAAGTTTCATAAAAAAAAAATATTGACAAATCAATCTTGACTAACCACAATCCTACTCAACATTAACAAAATTTAATAACATTGAGTTGCGTGTACACCCTTGTACAAGTTACTGTACTAAATTTCTTTGCTCAATCTTTACTCCATTTTGTTATATTGAGCGTAAATCGATGAAAACACACAAATGCATACATAGACATTCAAACACAAACAATTTAAAAATTTCGTCAGTTTATTCGCATGAGTATTACGAAAATAATGAAACATAATTGGTTTAGTTCGTTCTACTTATTTATCTAATATAGCCTGAAATTCACAATTGGTATTTGTCCATCATCATTTTTCTCCCATCCTTAATTTTCTCATAATATTTTTAATCAGCTATTGTGGATTTGTTCATCGAAGTTCCTTTTTTGAAATTTCGTCTTCTCCTGCATTCTGCATATTTTTTTTTTTTTGTTAAACTTTCTGCAGCGCTACATTCGAATATTCTTTTTTCAAGCACATGCTGAATATGAGAAAAACGCAATGTAAGCATTTTTTAAGAGCTAATAAAAGTTTTTTGGGAATTTATTATTACTAATCTCAAAATTTTCTCGATTTTTCTGACAATACGAAAAGGGTTCCGAAAATAACACGTTTTGCTTTTAACTGACAAAGTGATTCTTTTACATTTTTGGAACCGAATTCAACAAAACTGCTTAATTTATTGGATTTTCTTGCAATTTTTAAAACACAAGGGTAATCTCGAAAGTAAGGTCTTTTAATTTTTTAAATACGAAGAAACGTTTTATACAAAATAAAGTTTATATCATTTTAAAGCGTGAACATTTGTCTACTTTTCTACATAATCGCCGTTTTGGTCGACGTATTTTCATATGCGCTGTGGCAATTTTTGCATGCCCATGTCATACCAGCTCGACGCCTTGTATTAAACCAACTAAAATTCATTTCCAATTGACAGAAAGTGCATAGATGTCAAAAACATCTTCAAGTGGTATAGGGTATTTCTAGCTTATCGTACTGAAATTCACGACAAACAAAAGAGCCAGAGACCATCAATTTCTGACAAGACAGTGGCAAAGGTTAAATAAACTATGCGTGAAGTTCGGCGAATCACTCTGAATGATTTCTTCATTTTGGCTATTAGTTTTTCCCCAAATACAATTTATTGGATTTTATCGGAATAGTTGAAATAGATCTACACAAGATGGAACCTGCGATGTGGCGGGGAACAGGTATTACAAGGGCATACAAAAGCTGCTACAGCTCCTAGAAAAGTGCATCGATCGAAATGGTGATTATGTACAAAAACAGATAGATGATCAAGCTTTTAAATAATATACACTCTATTTTTGTATAAACGTTTTTAAAAATTAGGAGACTTCACTTTTAAGATTACTCTCGTATATACATAATTTTCGAACAAATGCTGTCATGTATGCTGTCCTTGATACCATTCAGATAGCAAAAACCATTTTCGGATTCCAAAACAATAACAGAGACAACTTCGAATGTTGTTTTGAAAACAATGCTTCCAGGTAGAATTATTTTACGCCACATAAATGTTTTTTTTTTTTTTTTTTATTGTGGGCAATAAAAATTATTAGCATGTTGACAATCTTTTGAACTAATTTAAATTTATTCGGTAACTTTCTGGTTACTTTTTAATAAACTATTAGTGACAGTGTGAATTGCAGGAGTGTTCGCAGTGTCGAAGATTTATATTTAACTACAAACTAAGAAATTTAAGAGATAAGCATAAAATATCTGTGTCTCAACTTTTGGTAAAGTGAAGCATAGTTAGCCGATTAAGACTTTACAGTGGATGGCTCAAAAGTATTCTCAAGGTCAAATGGATATTAAAATGCATTTGTTTGCATAAAGAAATTACATTTTTACGATAATGTGCGTTCTACAAGACATGTGGAAGAACATCTCAGATGCTGCTCACAAAAANGTGGTCGAAGCAGATTCCTTTCTACTAGTTGATTTTGACTTTTGAAGTGGTGGTCTTCCTCTTTTAATTGGCGAGCGTTGCATATTAATTATGTTGATAGATTTTCCAACAATTATAATGTTAACACACAGCCCAAACAAATAAAATTTTAACGTAAAATTATTTGACAGGATACATTCTTTACCTGTATTTGAAGTGAGTAAAAAAACGCTCCAGCAGCTTCGGCAGACAGAAGCGCCCCCCCTGTTATTATAGATTATTAAAAACGTCATTTTCAATATCGAATTCGGTTTGTAAACATTATAAATAATAACGAAAACATTTGTCAATAAGTTAGATCGTACTTGATATATGACAGAAGACTTTCTATTTCTACCCACCCTATGACCTTCAACTAATAAAATTCAATAGCACAGTTCCCCTAATTTACAAACTTTTTTGCAACATTTGTTAAATTTTTGACCTAATGCTGAAGAGTTATTAAGGTAAAAAAAGAAGAGGATGAACGAAATCACCACACACAAAGTGGCACTAACATCCATATATACAAAGATAGTACCAGAATTTATTTCATTTTTCGACGTTTTAAGATCCCTACATAAAAGAATGTAAAAATCCTAAGGAGATGAATTTTTTACAGATCTCCCACACTTTCACTCTATTATATATAACAGTCAGAAAAGTAATAGATGCCTGAATAATTTTAAAGTAGTATAATTTATATAGAATCGTCAATCTTATATTTTTAATAATTAATGACGTACGCTATAAAAAACGATTTTAAGCGTAATTGGCAACCTATTTCAGTTTATACTTTTATTTGTGATTTGAATTTAAGATTATTTTTCTATTACAAAAAATAACAGAAATGAAATTTATGTCATGAATTTATATATCATTACATAGATGCCTAACTAAATTTGTTTGCCTATTTTAATGCTATATTTTAGCACTTACACACTAATTTTGTATCAAGGTGCACAGAGTAGATGAGTCATTTCTTCTTGCATAACTTTATACAATCATGCAACGCAAACATTCTAGTATTCTGTGGAAGCGCAGTGATTACAAACTAAATAAAATTTCGATATTTACCAAATTCTGCCGAATCATCCAAGAAATACTTGGATTAATAACTTTGTTTGTAATCATGGGAGAACTTTTAACACAGAAAATTACTAATTATGTAATTTACAACGATGATAACTTTATCATTTGCAGATATTTAACACTGAATAATGCATTTAAAATATTTAAAAAATCCATAGTCAACGTTATAATTTATCTGATGACACTTATCGGGCCAAATTTTTCCAACTGAAAAAATTAGCGTTCCAACAGCTAACACATTATTTGACACTGCTAAATGTTTGTATTTGTAGTTTGATAAACATCGAGATGTATTTTTAATGATCTTTCTTTCTATAAACCATTAATTGTCAACCTGTACATTAGCGATTTAAACGAATTAATTTTACCTTGCTAACACCATTTGAAAATTGTAACGGGTATTACTGATAATCGCCGGTAGTCATTATGGCGTTTAGAAAATGTGACCTAAATAACCAACTGCGTTTAAAAATTACAGTTATGACGTCTCTGATTTTCATAGAGTACTTATAGAAGTAACTGTGTGTGTCGTTAACTTTTTTAATTATTACAAGTGTACTGTGACAGAAAAAAACGAAGTATGTTTGCAATAAATAATCACATCGCACTCACAATAAAATTAACAATGAAAATATTTCATTACAACTACAATTTTTGATCTGCTTCTTGTTTTTTATTTTATATTCTAAAACCTGGAACAATATTTTATTAACAATAGCCTGAAATCTAACGTGCAACATTAGATATTTAAATAATTACAAAATAAAAACTAAAAAAATAATAAAATTCCACAGCATTTTACAATAATATTGATTTGTAATAATAAGTATTTTAAATAGGAGTGTCCAACGATTCATATGTTTGGAGAGTTGCTGGAACATCGGTAAGGAAATTCTGTTACTGTATAAACATATCATCATAATAATAAAATGCCTTATAAATAATTTTTAACTCTTGCTTTTCAGGACGAACTCTTCATGACATATGATAAAACTGAAAGACAAATAACAGGTGGAAAGTTATTTCCACTGTTTAAAGTTATCCAAGAAAAACTAAAATTTAGGTAAGTGGCTTCTTCATTTCAATCTCAAACTTACTCTTTTGCATTTAATCATAGAACTTTAACAGTATATAGACTCAAGTTTTTATACTTTTTACTGCTACCTTTTATCATTAAAAATATAATTTTGATGTAGTATTAAAACAATTTAAAAAATGAAAATATTGTTACATAATTTATATAAATTGATAATTATAATATTGCATATTTCTATTATAAATGTCATTGATGTTTCTGATTTCGTTTTAAACATGAAAAACAGCAACTACTCAATGAAAGAATACTTTAATACTTAAGCACATAAGTCTTGTTATTGAAAGAAATTATTTAGAGCATTCAAAGGTCAATACTACTTAATGAAAAAAACTAATAGGAAATTAATTAATAAATGCTATAAAAGTTTATACATTTTTTTGTGTAGTCAGTTAAATCACTTGAACAATTTTTTACAAATAATCGGAAATGAAAATTTTTCACCAACCTAATCAACAGGTAGAATTTCAGTTCCACTCTATGCGTATCTCACTTCCTAGGAAATAGTGAGAGTAAACATGAGGAACACTATTTACTCAAGAAAACTTAACGAACATGAATTACAAATTAATCAAAGTAAACGAATAAATGGGTAACCCGAGCCGTATTTAAATGAGTAAACGTTACCCAACTATTACAAATTTGCAAGAACAACCAGATAAGACATGATTGTACAAAAAACTTTTGAATATAATCACTATAAAAGTTAACACAACAGGAACGAAATACGAATGCATGACATAAAATTTAAAAAACAGCGATTTTACATGTATAATGGTCCATTAGGAAGAAAACCAAAAGACATTGATATTAGAAAACTGCAGAACAGTGTACAGATCAACAAAACAATAAACAAAAGAAGAAAATTATCTTAAATGAGTACTAAGAAAAAATCAGTGTCAAAAAAATTACAACAGTTAAAGTAAATTTATTAAAGTGGTTAATGTGTGTCTTTTATTAGAAATAATAACAATAAAACAATATAAATTTAAAAATATTAGTAATATAATAAAAGCAATCTGGCTCTTACAGTAAAATTTTTTTAAAAAGTTGAGAAAATCATCTGAAACTGTAGTTTCTGTATTTTATATTTTACTAATAATTATAATTAGTGGGGGAGGCGCTTTTGTCTGCCGAAGCTGCTGGCGCGTTTTTATACTCACTTCAAATTCAGGTAAAAAACGTATCCTGTCAAATAATTTTACGTTAAAATTTAACTGTTCGTGCTGTGTGTTAACTTTATAATTGTTGGAAAATCTGGCAAGATTCTAGGACAAATGTAGCAAAATTTCGTCCCTCCCAAATTGTAGAGCCCCCCTGTGCGAGCAGAAAAGTCAAAAGGACCATGCCCGTACGGGCGACCCTAAGCGAGATATAGCCCTCCAAAGATGCGCCTACGTCACATCCGGTCACGTGACTCCGAGCCCAAAAGGGACGGCGTCACGTGGCCGAAATTTTTTTTTTCGGTTTTCCCCATCTCAGTGTTGAAAAAAAATCGTCAACTCCCCCTTCCTTAGCCCCCAGCGCGCGTCTCCCCCTGGCACGCGGCCGGCGGCCCGAGTCTCCCGCCTGCAGCCTTCAGGAGTCGCCATCTGTTGCCTGTAAATACAAATATCTATTATTTATTACACCTCTTACCTCAGCCGGGGATCGAACCCCAGTCCCAGCAGGCGCCGATCCACTTCTCTCCTCACCGGCCCGCCAGGTCGCTCTGTAGAAACACTTCGGAACTCATACTTGAGCCATGCTAGGCCGAGGAGCTCACTGCGCATGACGGGCCCTCCGGGCGGCCCCCATCGGCCACACAGATTGAGCGCGCCGCGCCACGCGGCCACCCCCCGCCGTTCAGGTGCAGCGGGCCCGTCGCGCGGCCAATGGCCGGACGCTCGTAGGTCACTTGACCTAATCCCGGCCCACCGAGGTTTCATAAGCCTTCAGGCCGCCTTCGGGCATTTTCGGCCGGTGTTTGTTACCGCATTAGTTAGGAGTACAAGTCAGTAAATATTCAGCATTTGTGATATTCCAGTAAATATTCGATATTTGGGTACTTATGGGTTAAGAGGACGCCAGTTCAGTGGGGACGCACTTTCTAACCTAACCTAACCTA